TGACGACGAAAAGATCACACCGCCCGCCATGTGTGTCTACCGCTCACTGCTCCCGCCGAAGTGCACCAAAGAACACCTCAGAGAGAACAGTGACGAACACAACATGACGACGAAAAGATCACACCGCCCGCCATGTGTGCTTACCGCTCACTGCTCCCACCGAAGTGTACCAAAGAACACCTCAGAGAGAACAGTGACGAACACAACATGACGACGAAAAGATCACACCGCCCTCCATACGTGTCTACCGCTCACTGCTCCCACCGAAGTGTACCAAAGAACACCTCAGTGAGAACAGTGACGAACACGACATGCACGACGTAAATGCTGAAGTTCTGGTTGTCCTGCCAAAGGTGTCCGCGAAGACGAAATGCTGGCACAGCGCTCTGTCGGAGATACTGAAAAATACGAAACAAACATAAAACTCCCGGCTGCCTTCCGCTCTGCCGATGTCGCGGAGTCGGTTGGCTGCTAGTGCTGTAGAGCCGGTTGCTGTGCGCTCTGCAGATGTTGTAGAGCTAGGTGCCGAATGTCTTGCTGATGTTGTTGCGGTAGAGGAGCTCGCTGTAGAGGCGGGAACTGCATCGTTGTTAGTTGCGGTCCATGTCGTCGTTGTCCACCTATCGTCTGGTGTCTACTTCTGCATGTCCTCGGTGGGTAGTTTTGTAGTCACTATCACTGAATAGGCACAGAACAAAACAAAACTTCAGACCTGAAGCGTACCGCAAATTACTTAAAATACCCTCCCGAGGGAGCTCACCAAAACAATCTAAACCACCCTACGAAAACAACAAAATTACACGGATTCCTCAGACCATTCAAATGCAAATGCCCACGTGTGAAACCCCACATGGAAAAAACCCACCAAGATCCTGCGGATACCACTTAAAACTGCTGCTGTGAATTTATCACTGGCGGCGGCGGAACCTGCTGCTGCGGTTGTCGCACACTGCTGAGTACGGGGCTGGAGGACGGATACCCTGCTGTTGAGGAGCCGCCGGTCTCACTCCCTGCTGCCCGGCATCCTGCACTGGCCCGCGGTAGGTAGTCTTGGTGCTCGTGGCGTCATATCTACATGTGCAAACAATGTCAATTCATAAAAGACGCCAATCCCACTGCAAAACTTACACTACCCACCCGAGGGAGTCCCCACCATAGCGGGAAGAGATGCCCCGTACAGCCAAAGGACCAAGCGGCGAACCAGCAAGGCCTGAGACCCCACTCAGGTATCCAATCCCTGCTAAAACAATCACCACCCCAAAACTAGCAGACAAAAGAAAAAATGCCTCCACCATTCAAATGCAAATGACCCAGGTGTGGAGGACCACGTGTACCGCCCGCTAACGGAAAATTCCAAAACGAAAACTCACGCGTCCAAAAAACCCGCAAAATTCTACACCCCAAAACCTCTATTAAGCTTGAAGTGCGAAAAAGAAAAACAAAAAACAACACACTGACAGCCAAAACCAAACTCTCCCTCTATGAAAACCGAACTCACTCTAGAAGGCGCGCCTGCCCTACCCGCTAACCGTGGCGCCACAAAAAACACGCCGAAAATTCTGGACTCTCACTACCGTCTACACTAGCCAAACCTTGACCAAACTGGTCAGCGAGAATCCTTGCAGTTCTCCCCCAGGCACTCCGGTCTCCGCTCCGTGCTTCCTTCCTTGTCGAAACGCTGTCGTGCTGGTCGGCCGGTAGACCTCCACGACGCTGCAACTCCAACCGGTCCGGAGGGATGTTTCCAGTAAATGCACAGAGTGAATGGGCTATCAGCCCCTTATATGGGGTGTGATGACGTCATTGGCGGATTGATCCAATAATTAAGCAGTGAGAAAAGGTTAGTTATAGGGGTTCGATCCCAGCAGCTGTTGTCGCTCACCCCAACATGCACACTACTGGAAAGGGTCGCAGTCTCTAGGACGGGACGTTAAGCCGTGGTCCACTGTTCTGCTCGTCGAAAAGCAACAGAAATTTCCCCGGTACAATGAACCTGTAAATACTGTACATAACGTACTGTACATAACGTAAATACTGTAACATACTGCAGCAGAACTTCCGGTTTTTGTATCTTTTGTCCTGAACATGCTATGGTCTTGATGTTTTGGTGACAGATTGCTTTTCCTGTCAGGAATAAGTGGTGTGAGTTAAGTCCCCCTAGCAGCTTGTTCTGGAACTGCAGGGCACTTTCTGGCGAAATCTTTAAAAGCCAATAAGTCCAAATAGGAACAATATATTATCATCATTTTTGGTGTGTAGGTAGCTGAGAGAGAGAGATGTACATAATTTAATGCAAGTTATTCAAATGAGGACTTTATTGGCATAATTAATAAGGAAATTCTATAATTACTGTGTTTTACATTATACTACTTTCATACATGTAATGTATGTAACCTATGGCAGGCAGAACATCAACAGATACTTATTATGCAAATGAGGACCTAATTTGCATAATTAATGCGAAAATTCTATGATTTCTTAATGATGAATGATAGGAATGTCATACTTGGGACATCTGTAAGTTATTTAAAAGTTAACAGCACGATGCATATATTATGGTAATGCAGAGGTCATTTGCATAATTAAAGAAGAAATTTACATTTACATATCAAGTCCAGATTTCATGCAGGTATGAAGTCTCGGAACCCTTGTTGAACTTGGTATTGTCTCTAAATCTCTGTCAACTGACCTGGAAGAAAGGACTATTTCCATATATGGTTGTGTTTACCTCAGGTAACCCAAGGTAGGCCTACGTGCAACTCTAGCATTCCTCCCTCATGTCCTGAATGTCCTTGAAGTTGAGGCAACCTTGTCCTCTAGATGAACTCATTATGTCCTCCTTAGTGTTAAAGACATTACGATTTAAATATTGGTATTAATTCTTAAATCAACTACATGTATATCTACTCCGTAGCATTGCGCATGTAGGAGTTGTGCAAAACGTCATTGATTAGCCCCACCAATTACGGATCCTGTTGTGCAAAACCCACCAGGCGGGGAACCTAGCCGAGTCGGGCGGGGAAGAGCTCCTGTAGCCCCGAAGAGAACCTGCCACAACCACGATAGACTTAGCCTGGATGCCAGACCGACAGCACCGTGACTGGACCCAAAGTACATGTATCCCTGCACACTAGATAACTTTGGGTCCAGGTAGTGTGCTATGGGCCTAGCAATCTGGCTACGACAGACTGGATATACCATGCTATTCCTCCTGTTGCCAAAGGTGAGTTCCTTCTACTTTCTGAGGTGACATGTACATCGGATCATATTTTGGCAGGAGCTGTGAGCCATGGAGGCCGTCTGTCTAATGTTATTCGGCGACACCAGAACGACATGTGGAGGGTGTGACATCTCTTACCCCTCCCAAGTGCATGACTCGAGATTATGAGACTGGGCACCATGCCACGGTTGTGCCATAAATCCCAGGCTGTTCTAGGCCGTCTGTCACAGTCAACCTGTCAGAAAATATTGTACCCTGTTGTAGTCCCCCGGGTGCGTACTTGGGAGACCAAGTAGTACATAGAACACGATTACAAAGGCTACTATGTGGACATATAATCACTAAAAATCCAGGCTCCCTATTGCCTGAGGGGACCAAGCAGTGCTCTAAGTGTATATAATCACAAGAAAAACAGGCTCCCTATTGGCTGAGGGGACCTAGCAGTGCTCTAAGTGGATATAATCACTAGAAATACAGGCTCCCTATTGGCTGAGGGGACCAGTAGCAATGCTCTAAGGATCAGTCGAGCACACCAGATAGATCTCGACTCTAACATTTGATTTCTAGCCCCTCACACGGTCCCACTTCTCAGAACCAAACTACCCAGGCCAAGGACAGTATAATGCCCTTGCCCGGGCAAACTGCCGAAGTGACAGGTTTAATACATACCGCTGCATCCGGCCCTCTTCTGATTCTTCCCTGGCCCTACCAACCTAACCTTAACTAACCAACGTAGCACACATCTACCAACATCTAACATATTCCTTTTTGTGGCATTCTTATAACTCACGTTGTGACCCTGAACATATGTTGGGAAAATGCTGAGAAGGAGACTTACAGATATGCATATGCAAACATTTTTTTTCATAATTTGTCAACAGCTGATTGTGGTAAGTTAAGATTTTACGCAAAATGTAAATTGAACCATGTACAATATAGAGGGATACTTCATATTGCAGATTTCGAGCTACGCTCATTGCCATTGTCAATAATGACAACACAAATGATATTTTCCTGTGTAACTAATGTAGGATCCCGTAGTTTACCTGACGACAATGTTGCTGATGACGCTGTAGTGGATCCATTGAAAGGCGTTGCTCAGCGAGTAGGAAGAAAATAGGAGCAGCATAAACCACCGACGCAAGTACAGCTTAGTCCTCGGGCTGCCTGGCGAGTCCTCCCCGGGTGTTGGCGGCGACGAGCCGGTCGGATCGGTCGGGGCCGACTCGGAGGTGATCCCGCCTGTTTTTTCTTCTCCTTGTGTCGAATCGGTCGACATGTTGTTTTGAGTAACCTTCGCACCTAGAGGTCTACGACTTTATTTACATATGGTTAATGTGTAACAGGCCTGTCAGTCTGTGATGTTTTGACCTATGACGTAGTGCTGACTAACCAGTTCAGATTCTTAGCTCATTTACATGCTAATTAACATTAGCCAATAGTAATAGCTGGTGACAGCAGCTAGCAGGAATAATTAGTTAGCCCGCTTGCTTCGAATTCAGCCGAGACCTGAGGACCCAGGTTAGTGAACACACACATTAGTTGGTTCCGCTATAGATTGTATGTAGTTCCTATCCGATATAAGACTCGTATCCATATCCGTAAAAGCTAAAGACTTGTACTAGTGTATATATCAGTTGTACCTAGACAATTTATATACGGTAGTAGTTTCTCTGTTGAACAGTCAATCATACAGTCGTAATAATCGACGGGCTTTGTGTCTTCTATCTCTCGAGTAGTAATAACTTAGCGGTTAGAGATCTTGATCTTGAAAAGTTACGGTGCAACACCCCTTTGTTGTAGCCTCCTTCGCAGTCTTGTTGGGGGTCGGCGTTGTTTTTTTTCTATGAGCGACGCGAGTAATATGCCGCCGCGAGGGACGATTTGCTGCCGAGGGAGTTTTTGCCGCGGAGAGAAGGATTCGCGCTCCAACATTGTTGCGTCGCTCATTGAAAAAAATAACGCCGACGCCCATCAAGACTGCGAAGGAGGCTACCTTTGTTGAGGCATGGAGTCTTTAAAGTCCATGGGGTAAAGACGTACAGGGGGAAGTGCGCTGCACGCTTATTGTTTCGTCAGGTGCAGTAGTACGGCTTCCTTGAAGTTGTCAGGCTCTGAGATTTCTGTTATGACCTGCTGGGAAGTGATTTCCAATCCCTGACAGTCTGAGGGAAATAGGAGTATCTGTAACAGTCTTTGTGAAACGGTAACTTGTAGGAATTTAGGTTGGAGTGTTGCGATAGACACGAACGTTTTAATTAGTAATAACCTTTATTGTACATTCATGCCCTATCGGGCTAAGTACAGGTGAACAGATGAAAAGGTAATATACATGTTTGTAGTACAAATAGCTCTAAAACTACACTAATACAAGGGCTCAGCTTCTTCTCGTTTCTTAGTGATGTCCAAAATATAATTTGAAATGGGTTTGTTTAATACAGGATGATCAAAGCGCATAAGAAAGATGAATTTTTCAATATTAGTCAAGTATTGGAACTGGAAGTAAGGGAACGTATTTGTTATATATCTAAAAAGATCATTTCTATCATTACTATATAAACTACAATCAACGACAAAGTGGACTTCATCTTCTACTTTGTTTGAGCTACAACATTGGCAGCTTTTTTAATAGATTGGCCGAAAGACAGAAACGTTACACTGCACTGGTTCCCACACCGCCCTGTGTGTGGTGGCGTGTGCCGCACAGGGATGTCGAACTCGGAGATTCCAGGACGAATGTTGAAAGAAAAGGGGGAGTATACATATAGTCTTGAACAGTGGGGTTCAAGCGCCACCGCTAACTTATCCATTCCAAAGGGTCGGGACCTTTTGGAGTAGTCGTTAGCGCGCTGGTGTCGTGAGCTGGCTGCCCGGGTTCGATCTCCGACGTCCTGCAGGGAGTCAGGGGTTTTCCTGTTTAATACTAATCTGGTGTGTTACGCCGAAGGCGGTCATACCGGTACAGATACAGAATCGCTCCTAGTTGTTTCAAATGGTTAATCACGACATGTACAAGGCGCACTCAGTACAAAACGTCACTGGAGGACGGATCCAAAACCTACCGGGGAACCTAGCTGAGTCGGGCGGGGAAGAGCTCCTGTGGCCCCGAAGACTGAACCCGCCACAACTTGGCGACGACAGACGTACTGGACACCATGTTATTCCTCCTATGGCCAAGGATGAGTTTCTTCGAATTCTTCTTTCTTGGTTGGCATCGGCGTATACTTTGGCAAGAGCAGCCATAGAGGCCGTCTGTCTGATTAACCTAGCCTCTACCAGGCTTCGGGAGGCGGTCGAAAAAAGAGTAGAAATCGGCCAAACAGAGAGATGGCATGCCAAGGGAGTTGGACTGCGGGAGCGGCAAACTGTTCTCTCCAGCAGACCAACTCCCCTGGCATGCTATCTCTCTATTTGGCCGATTTCTACTCTTTCCAGCCGCTCCTGAAGCCTGGTAGAGACTACTATTAACCGCCAACAACAGAACGACATGTGGAGGGTGTGACATCTCTTACCCCTCCCATAGTATACATAGTGACTCGGGATAGACGCCGGCCATGCCTCGGTTGTGCCATAAACCCCAGGCTGTTTCCAGGCATTCTGTCACAGTCAAAAGTTCTCAAAACTGTCAGAATATTGGCCTATCATCTACTTTGAGACCGCCTAACACAGATGGCATCAGTAATAGTGACAATACAAATAATATTTTGACTAAATGTAGGATAGGGTAGTTAACCTGGTGATAACGTTGTTGATGACACTGTATTGAATCCATTGAAAGGCGTTGCTCAGCGAATAGGACCAGCATAAACCACCGGCGCAAGTACAGCTTAGTCCTCGGGCTGCCTGGCGAGTCCTCCCCGGGTGTTGGCGGGGACAAGCCGGTCGGGACCGACTCGGAGGTGACCCCTTGTGTCCGATCGGTCGACATCTTTTTTTGAGTGACCTTCGCTCTTAGATGTCGGCGACTTCGTTTATATGGTTAATGGTTAATCACAAGTCAAGGTTGGGAAAGCTTAGTTAATCAACACCAGAGTTCAACTTCGAAATGCACTCCAACCTCAACACGCGCCATTTGCAAACCGCATTTAACGTAAACTATTGGCACGTTCCCGTTTAGACGAATCTATCGATAACCCGGCCCAAAATACAGTAATTGAACATGTATATACACATTAACATATGATATAGATGTGAATATGGATATAGTATATATTCTTCATGCATTTGGTGTATCTTTTTCATTTCCAATTGATATTTGCTTGATGATGTCATCGACAGGACGCGAGGTCATCTCGAGATGGTCTTAAAATGTCGAGATCGTTTGAAAAAAATTTCGACATGTTTTGAAAAATCAAATCTCATGATGTTTTAAAAAATGTTGAGATCTTTTGAAAAATATCGAGATATTGGTACCGATAGCGGCTGTGGGAGGTTGGTCTATTTTGCTTGTGATGCAAGCAAGCTGTGTTCCGCTAGGTGACGTTCTTGCAAGCACCATAATGCGTAATGCGAATCGGATCAGGAGAAATAAACGAATCAGCTACTAACTTTCTTTATCATTCGAAAGTGCTGCATTCGAAAGGGGGCGAATCGCGTGCTACTTTCTCTTCGGCTCTACACATAGAATATCTAAGATGGCGACGTCTGTCCGAGACACGGCACTTTGGCTGCACAACAAGCTGGGCGCCTCGGACGATCTGTGGGCTCCCACCTCCGTCACCAGCCTGCTGACGCCCGACACGCTGTACAACACCCGGCAGTGTTTCCTGGAGCTGCAGGTTCCCGTCAAACTCAAGCTGCTCCTGGCACTGGTACACCTGCCCAGACGACAACTGCAAGGTACATGTGTGTGTGTGTCGAGTCGCGGTCAAGATAGTTTCTTTGTATAGGCAATAATTTCATAGTTGATAGCGGAACACTGCAGCAGGACACCACGTTTAGCGTACCAATAGACGTAAAACAAGGACAACAAATGGCGAATATACAAAAGTAACGCCCTCCTTTCTCAGCATTGGATTCCCATTATATATTCCAGACATAAATATTATGTATACTTAGTGTGGCCAACACATCATTTTCCTTGTTATATTTTCGATTGCACAAGTTTTGTTAAGTTATTGAGCACGGTTGCACCACCACCACCGGCCACACTGAGGCGGGCACCTGGACGTGATGTCCCTTGCGGGATTTTGTCCAGTACTGTATAAGATAGGCCATGATTGTTGATATTTTGACTACATGGATGAGGGCCTGCAAGCCCTTTTTCGTAAGGCGTAATCTGACCGTTTTAGACTTCGTAATTCGTAGGCAGCCTCCGCAAAAATTAACGTAATTCGTAATAGTACATTAGCCGCAAATCGTAAAGTCGTAATCAGCTCTGAGACTTTAACGTAATTCGTAATAGGCGGCGAAAATTTTGCGTAATTCGTAATCACTACCCCCTCTTGCAGGCCCTCATGGATGACATCCTCTGGGAACCCCAAAACTGATGCGAGCGTGCGAATAAAAAACAAATTGCTTTCATTATGAAATCTACATGGTTGAACAAGGTTGAACAAATGACACAGAGTATGGTTTGGCGAATACTAGTAATCTCCTAATAATTTCTTTACATTTTCATGTTTTTCGTTTAATTAATTTTTGGCATTCTGCAACATTGGTATCGTTTTCCAGTGTTTTTTTTCCAACCTACAGTATATATTTGCTCATTTTGCAACTGTTTTGTACGATTTACAGTATGGTTGAGCCCTTTTTTTTTGGGGGGGGGGGCGGAGGGCGAAAATTCATGCACATGCGGATGGCATCCATATGATCAAATCAACATGGCTTTATGAGACTTTCTCCTTAAAGTTAGACCTCCTTAGAGTCAGACTAGCCGTTGTCAGCTAGTTTTGTCTTTTCAACACAACATAATATGAGGAAGACAAAGATCTAGAGTGAAGTGGAAGAACTAAAAGCAACACAGCCAAAGTATGTAACATATGTACATGTATATAATAAAGTAAGTAAGGATTTATCTGACAAGTGGAAACAAGTGTTGGTTTAAAACTTTCACTTGTCAAAATCAGTCTTTCATTCAGACCAAGACATTCATATTGCCTAATCAATAACTTGGGTTGTTCACTTTGTCACAATTTGTTATTAATAATTTCTCTTTATTTCAGAAGACAATTTCTGTTCAACTTTCTTTGCCTTCTATTCCCCCCCAGAATCCTCTGCTTCCGTGGAACACGTTATTTCGCAGGCCCTGCAGGATGACGATGCCTGGGTGCGGATGATCGCTGACGTCGTGCGGTCCTACCCCAAATCCGGCACCCTCAACACCCACCTGGAGGACAGCCAGTCCGTGTACGGAGACACGGTGGAGAACCTGCGCGGCCCCGTGTCCGAGGTGGACACCTCCTCCCTGCTGCCGCTCGAATGTAAGTACTTGAACAGAACGGCCCTGAACGCCATGCTCGGTCAGCAGCCTCCTCCCGTCAAACACTTCGCGTTGAAGAGGAAACCGAAGTCTGCGACGCTGCGCGCGGAACTCCTACAGAAATCCAGCGAGGCCGCCGCGCAGCAGAAGAAGGGGATCCCCAGCACCCCGATTCCGGGAAAGGCGCGTACGCTCTCCGTCGGACGGCGGATCGACACCACCACGCCACTGAGAGGGATCCCAAAGTCGTTCACGGCGAGCAGTCACAGCGGGTTTCACGGCAGCTCGGCTACGGGAGGGCGCAGTGTCGCTCGCCTGGCCGCCATGACGGCTTCCCGGAAGGGAGAGCGAGGGGCCAAGTTCCTGGAAATTGAGGAGCAGCCATTGGGAGGTTTGCTTGTTTTTTTTTTGTTTTTTTTTTGTTTGTTTGTTTGCTTGTAGCACTGCATTATAGGGCCCTGGAAAAGTACATTACAATTTGTAATTTACATGTAATATTTATGCACACATGATCATGTCATGACAACTATACTTATATCACTGTTGCCACATATAAGTGTAAGGGAAATAATGGCAGTGGATTCTGAACAGTTGTATGATCCATGCATGCTAATCTTAAGGTCTGAATGGTGCAGGTAATTTTCAATGTTACATGTACAGTGTTCTCACCAGGATTTTTTCACAGCATAGGGGTCAGGTACAGAAGGGCAACTTTTGTGGCGCAAGTCGCACATTGAGAAGAAAAAATTTAAAACTCATAACCCCCTGAGACACTATTTCTCACTTTTTGATTGACAAATTTTGTGAAGTTATGGTTTTCCTTTTGATATACAGTCAAACCTGCCTATAGTGGTCACTCAAGGGACTGGCCAAATTTGACCTCTATGGCCAGGTGACCACTATAGAGAAACAGCCGGTTAGTTGCCCCCCCCCCAAAAAAAAGGGACACATGCTTTGAGTACCAACAGTGATGTCTTTATTCTGAAACATATGAATACATACATTTGCAAAGATAAACCCCTTTTATATGTACATGTGTTAGTTCAATAATTTGTTGTTCTTTTGCTTTAGTTGTACTTTATTTTGTACTTGCTTGAAAAAAAAAGAAATACAGAAATATTGCATGGAAACATTAACTTGACATCAAAGATACATACACTCAACATATTCAGTTAATCTATTCTGGGACAATGAAACCATTCACATAATTTAAAACATACAAAATCACTGGTTGTCATTTACTCTCATGTCCCTAATAAACATACCCCCCGGAATAAACATACCCCCGGACAAATCGTCAAAGTCTAATAAACATACCCTCCGGAATAAACGTACCCCCCGGAAAATGACCAAATTGACAGGTGAACTGTGTGTCTTTGATACTAAAATGTGCTCTTTATTTCAATACCAATATATTGGCAAATCTTTCACTGTTACATTTAATTAGTGAGTATATATCACTTTAATTAATGAGTATATATATATTGTACTTGTTTTGGGGAAATACAAAATCCGTAGGAGAAGCTATTGCATTTTACACTTCTGAAATGCACTTT